GAGTGGTAGGACTACTAACCGGTCACTGGAATCTGAGAAAACATCTACACAACATGGGTATATACAGCGATGATCCCATTTGCATATTATGTAATGAGGAGGAGGAAACAGCCACTCATATCATCTTCGAATGCGAAGCAACAGCTCAATGGAGGTTTAACCTAACGTACGGAAAAGACTTAGGGAATCAAATTGCAGCAGCAACAGCCAATAACCTGATACTTCTAAGAAGAAGGATTGAGTCTATTGACTGAACTAAGGAACTAGGAAGGTGCAATAAGCCAGAAGGCTGCAGTGCCTGGGGAATACAAACCCCGCTTCCTAGTATCCTTTTTCACCATACCATATCATATAAGTGGGAATTTATTTATTTGCAAGAATTTGTATTGAATGTGTGTTATATTTGGCACGTATTGGGGCTGAAATGCCCAAGCTGTCGGATGCTCCTTAAAATACGATATTATTTTCCATATTGTTACTTAAAGTAGAATTATTTTCTCCTAAATGTATCCGAAGTATTTCTCGTTACATTGGCAGACTTGGTAGTTCATTGAATTCTGCAAATGAGCGTCAGAAAACATTTCTTTGATTGTCGGATTGAACTTATTCTTAACTAAGGGCCTGAGGTGCCCTAATTTGCTTAATGGGTACAACAGCAGCATGAATTCAATCGAATAAGAAGGTAAATTAGGTAAAATGATGAAAAGTTTGGTTTAAAATACCAATTATGATTGGATGATTTTACTGAAAATAACGACGTTGATAAATCTCATTGTAACCAGGTAAATTTGTTCTTTTGGATTCAGCCCCAAATTATACGAAATGTAAGACTTTCATTGAAGTAGAAACTATTGGCAAAGAGTCCTAAAAGGTGGTTTTTTAATGAGTAGCAGAATGAATAGGCAAAACTGGAGGAAAAATTTAAGAAAACCTTTGAGAACAGTGTTTCCCCCTGGTTTGTGTTTTCACAATTTTCAACATAATTTGTTTTAAAGAGACACATTTTCAGGGTCATTACGGGCGGGGGTCGATCGAGGCCTTGGGGTGTCGATCCTTCTAATGAATATCGGAACCTTGACGTGTCAAAACAGCGACTCCAGTATAACAAGAACATTTCTCAAGGAGTTTTGGGCGGGAGGCACAGGGATGAAGAGTTAATCGGCTTTGGGCCGGGTGTAAACAACAGAATTGGGGAAAATGCATCGATTTTCCGAGTTGCCGAGACAACTGGATACCGACCAGACAGACAGATGGATGGACTGATACCGACCATGATTCCACAACTGCCACCTTATAGGCAGTAAAGGATCTAAGAAAGAGGTGCAAGTTTAAAATTATAGAGAATTAAACAAACCAGCGCATTGGTAGTTCAGTTTATGAATCCTAAAGTTTGTCTTTGTTTAGAGAATTAAAACTGCTGAAATAAGTACGGAGATGGCCCACAGGGCCTGATGCTTGGACATGGACGAAAAGGAGAGAATGGCATGTGTGTATAAACAAAGAACAATTTTTAATTGGTCAAAAGATTATTCTATTCTATCTATAATTGATTTTACTGACGTTTAAATTTGAAATTTTTTAGTGTTGTTATACAGCTGATCACCGTTAGAGGTGACCTAACCGATGATCATTTACCTCAGTTGTTTCACAATTGGCTAGTTCAAATTCTTAAGCGTTCTAAAATGCGCTTAGACTTTCTCGTAAGAGATAATTTTGACTCCCACAACTCTTCTACTGTGAAATTTATAAAATTTAAAGGCAGTAAAGAAGCTGCAGAAAGAGATGCAGTATACCACCTAAAATATGATTGAAATCTAACAAGCCATTACACTAGAAGTTTGGTTTATGAATCATAAAATTTGACAGTGATTACAGAACTGAAACTTTTAAAAATATGTGGCGTGATGGTCCTCCGGGTCGGATACATGGACATGGACAAAAAGGAGAGACTGGCTTGTTTATAAGTATATAACGATTTTTAATTTAGGCAACGAATTGTCCGTTTATATCTGGTAGTGATTTTAGTCATGTCCAAATTTTTTCGTTTTGTTATACAAGTTGTTCACTGCTAGAAGAATCGACCTGATGATCATTTACCTCATCATTCCACAACTGCCCAATTTAACTTCTAGAACGGTATAATATGCACTTAGACTTCCTCATGCGTGATCATTTGATCTCCAATAATTTTTCAACTTAAAATTTACAAAATTTATAAAATTTGTAGGTAGGAAAGAAGCTACAGAAAGCGATGCAGGTTGCCAGCTTAAAAAATATTGAATTTGATATAAACCATTGCATTAAGAGTTTAATTTGTGAATCATAAAATGGCACGTTTAAAGAACTAAAAAATTTAAAATAAGGGCCCTAATGGTCCTCCGGGCCGGATATATGGACATGGACAAAACACAGAGATTGGCATGTATGTGTAAACTTAAACGACAAAGGATTACCTATTTCTACCTCCAAGTGATTTTACTGATGTTAAGTTCCGAATTTTTGAGTTTTGTTATATAAGTTGTACTGCTAGAAGTACCGACCCAATGATCATTTACCTGATTCCACACCTGCCCAATTTAACTTCTTGAGAGGTCCAAAATGCACTGAGATGTTCTCATATGTGATCATTTGATCTCCAATAATTTTTCAAGGTGAAATTTACAAAATTTATTATATTTGTAGGTAGTAAAGAACAAATGCAGGTTACTACCTTAAAAACCGATTGAAATCTAAACAAGCCGTTACATTAGAAGTTTAGTTTATGAATCATAAAATTTGACATTGTTTAAAAAACTGAAACTTTCAAAAATAAGTGGCGTGATGGTCCTCCGGGCCGGACATGGACTAGACGGGGAGATTGGCATGTATGTATCCACTTTAAACGATCTTTCATATAGGCAAAAGATTATCTATTCCTATCTCCAATTTTACCGATGTTTAAGTTCAGACTTTTTGGATTTTGTTATACAAGCTGTACTGTACGGCTGTTATACAAGCTGGAAGTACTGCTAGAAGTACCGACTTGATGATCATTTATCTCATGTTTTCACAACTACATTTTATCATACGCGATCGTTTTATCTCCCATAATTCTTCAAGGTGAAATTTTATCTCCAAATTCTGGTGCTTAGGGAGGCATGAATGTCCAGGTAATACTTTCACAGGCTAAATAGTTATCTAATAGTGGGTTTTAGTCCGCCTATGTTGATTAAACGGCTTCAGGAGCAACCATAAAACCATAAAATTTGTGCCATTATCTGCCATCATTGTTGCGTTTCCTTTTTTACCATTTTTTATATTGATAAAAATAAAATTAACCACCCCTAGAATAAGAAGTTCTACGTTATATACACTACCAGGCAAAAAAATCCCTTTTGTAATATAACTTGTAAATATTTTTATATATTAATCAAGGTTTCAGGTTTTTTAACGTTTATCAATTGAGTCTGTCTAAAAAAGTTAAAAAAGTAAATTGGAAAGAAATTGAAAAAAAGATAAATAAAAAAAAGACGGACAGATAAAAATTGAATTAATTTTGTTTTAGATTTTTAATTAACATTTCAATATCGCGTTTTTCCTCCTCTTGCCTTAATTGGATCTCGAAGACGCTTCGCCATATTTTCTACCAGTCTCTTTGCTGGAGGTTAGCCCATTCTTCACAAAGAGACCTTTCTAGATCGTGGAGTTTATCAAGGTCTCTTTTGAGGTTATCAAAGTTAGATGTTCAATGTTCGATGGGGTTTAAGTCTGGAGATCGGGATGGCAGGCTAAGACCCTGATGTTATGCTGTTGAAGGTACGTTTGTACTGTGCGAGCGACATGTGTACGGGCATTATCGTGCATTAGAATAGAATTATCGCTGATTTCATTGAGGACAGGCAACGCATGAAGTTCCAAAATTTCAACCGCATAGTGAGTGGCCGTCAATGACCCTCCACGAGCACCAACCAACTCTGTGCGACTCTCCCGCCCACACCATCACTGAGCTAATTGAAAAGGTTGGCTGTGGGAAAAATTACAGACTTGTACCTTGCATTTCGCCTCCTCTAGACTCTTCACGTCGATCTGGGGTTCGTAGAGCAACGCTACACTCAACTGTAAAAAGCACAGCAGATCAATCGACCAATGGCTGTGTTCTCGACCATATGTGAATCGTGCAACTCTTTGTGTTCTGGTCAACTCTGGTTTAATCTTCTTCGAGCAGTGCGTTCAGAAATTTGGACACCGCGAACTTCCTGGAGCTGATGAATCGCTTGAACAACAAAGTAAAATTCTTGAAGTCAAAAAACGGTCATCTTGTGGTTCTTTTACCTTAGTGCGTCCAGAACCGGGCCTTCCATGGTAGGACCCAGTTTCTCGAAAACGTCTTCTTGCAGAGTTTCGTAGGGAACTCCGATGGCATTAGCCGCATACCGTCCATCATCATCAAGTGGCATACCAGGCGCGACATCCCCAGCACTAAGTGGCATTTTTAAGTTTAAAAATTGAAATTAAGCAAATAAAGATGAAAACTAAACAGTCTATTGCTTCAGAATTGAAGTGAGATTGAATAAACATTTTAAATTCCTTAAAAAGTAAACTAAAAAAATCATTTATCCTTGTTTTGGATTATTGAGTGTGTTTACCTCTAATTGATATTCCCAATTTAAAACATTATTATTCATTGATAAAAAAATGAGATAAATTAAGGGCAGAATTTTCTTTTATCGAAAAAAGGAAAAAAAATCAATTGGGTGGAATTTTTTTACCTGTCAGTAGAAAAAATTAAAATTCAAGATAAAATTTTGTACTTTTGAAGCACCTTCCAATGTCATTTATGTAAAACTGATCGTGCGTAGACAGCGATGATGGGAAATTGGATCATCAACGGGAGAAATCAAAGATGACTGCGGTCATCATCGGCCGGGCGGCGTGGCACTGGGCGCACGAGTCGGCGTCGCGGGGGGGGGGGTCAGGAACATGGCGAAGTGGAGGGGCGGCGCCACCCCGCAACGCGATCAGTTTCACTCTGCCGCTCGAACGGTCCTATTCTCGTGTCCCGTACGACAGCCATCTCAGAGGCTGACAGCTCCCTTTTTCAGTTAGCGTTTTTTCTCCCCCGACTTAACCCTTTCCCGCCCCCTTTGGATTAAGTGACCGCCGAAACGTTTTCCAAAGTGATTTTAGTGACTGTGACGTCTCTTAAGGATATCCCATTAAACAGGTATTTACGAAGTTATTTCACTCTTACTTTATTTGTTTTGTCTTTTTTTCAGATGTATATTTTTTTAAAGATTTTTTTATATTAAATAATTATAAATTATCTTGAATAAAAGAGTAGAGGGTGAAGTTTTTTAATCGTAACAACACCTTCAACACGTGTGACCACCAAGAAAACAAAAATGTTCAATTTTGAATCAGAGGAAAACAATAATCGTCAGAATCACACATAATTGTTATGACAGAAGCCCGGCAGCCTGTCTTTAGGATTATTGTCCTCTCTTAGAATTGGGACGTAGTGAAACCAGACGACCTAAAAAAAAGAAGAAAAAACAGAAAAACCCGCCCCTCCTCGTCTCGGACGATTTTTTTTTTATAAGTGTCCACGTTTTTGCGTTAGACGTACGGGGGAGGCCGCCGGCGAACTCAAGGTCACTCTTTTAAAGGAAAAAATATTCTTGAAAATCCTTTCCAAAAATTTATAATTGAACTCAACTAAACAATCATTTAACATGTCGATTTGTGCTATTTAAAATAATTTATCTTGAGCTAGATGAAAATAACAACGAAACGTCTGTCAGGTCTCCAGTTCAAAACGAAAAATAATTCCTTTTGTTTTTATTTATTTTGTTTTTGTACATTTTCACTTAAACAGACTGTATTTTTTATTTATTCAAATGAGCTCCGTCTTTAAATGAATAAATTACGGCTTTTTTAGACAATCTAAACCGTACACAACACATGTACGTGCATAAAACATCATAAGTCTCTCGTCATACCCCACCCCTTTTAAAAATAGAAACTTTCGCCCTGCCCAGGCTAAGAGAAACATTTATTATCTATTCCCCTTTGCTTCGATAGAGCATAAAATTTCCTTTGTTAGATTTCCCCCCTTCAGAAAAATCACCCACAACACTGAAGAAGGTGAGAAGCCGTAGCGCGTCTGAAAGATCAAACCAGCGAGAATAGGCAGACCAAAAATGATCGGTAACGTCCAAATAAAATGAACTTTTTATGTTGCCCCCCTTTTTTATGGCTGGGGATGCCTAGTAAAATTTTTCATATTCTAATTGATTTGACCCAAAATTGTACCATTGTAACAAGCCATCCTACCAATTTTACGCTGGATATCTTCCAAATTATTTTTTTTTAAATTAAGACATTGAACATGATTTCATTGGCAACGGCCAAATAAAACACAATTTTTTTATGTTGCCTGTTGCTCGCTTGAGCAAATAAAATATACTTTCTCTTAAGTGTTCGCTAATACTAGAAGAATATTTTATATTGTAATTGATTTGGTCCAAAATTAAAAACCTTACCAAACCATCCTTGCAATTTTATGCTAAATTCTTTTTTAGTTTTACTTAAATACTTTTTTTTAAGGGCTTGCTTAGATACTAAGCCTTACTAGTAAAATGTTGTATAATCTAATTAATTTGGTCCAAAAGCGACCATTTTACCAAACCATCCTTCCAATTCTATGCCAGATTCTTTTTGAAGTATTTATTTTTCTTAAATTAACACATTGAACAAGACACATGTTCATTTGCAACACTCAAATAAAAAAATATTTTTTACAAAGCGCCCGGTATTTTTAAGGGCGGCTAAGCTAACTAATAGAATATTTCTATGTGCCAATTGATTTGGCCCAAAATCGCCCATTGTAACAAACCATCGTACCAATTTTACGCTGGATATCTTCCAAATTATTTTTTTTTTTAAATTAAGACATTGAACATGATTTTAGTGACAACGGCCAAATAAAATATAATTTTTTATGTTGCCTGTTGCCCGCTTGAGCAAATAAAATATACTTTCTTAAGTAAGCCTGGTTTTTAATTTTCTTTTTTTTAACTAGGGTTCCAACAGCAGAGGTTATATCAACCCTCGGGGTGCCGGTGTTTATGTCGGGTTCGAATGCAGGGCCGCTGAATTCGAACCCGGGACCTTTACTTTACAGTGATGAGCTCCAAGTTTTTAAGTGCTCGCTAATACCTAGTAGAATATTTTATATTGTAATTGATTTGGTCCAAAATCCGATTTTATGCCAGATCCTTTTTGAAATATTTATTTTTACTTAAATATATATTTTTTTAAGGGCCTGCTTAGATACTAAGCTTTAGTAGTATATTATTGTATAATCTAATGGATTCGACCAATTTACCAAACAGTAACCATTTTATCAAAATTGATCATTTATGTAAAATCGTCCTCTTTTTAATGGTTGGCTTAGATACCTATTAAAATATTCTATAATCTAAATCATTCTATCCAGTATAGTATAAATCATAGTAATCTTATAAACTATACTACACTAAATCATAGTACCCAGTAAAATACTATTTTACCAAACAATACTTCCGATTTTACCTCAGACGTACAAACTCGAATGTATTTGGGAATTACATACAAATTAATACGTGTCAAATTGCAAGGACGAAATAAATATACTTTCTTATTTAAGCCCAAGTTTTTTTAAGGGCTGGCTAATACTTAGTAGTATATTTTATATCTTAATTGATTTGGTCGACAATCAAAAACCTTACAAAATCATCCTTCCAATTTTATGCTAGATTCTTTTTGAATTATTTATTTCTCTTGAATTAACACATCGAACATGATACGTTTCATTTGCAACGACCAAATAAAAAATACTTTTTTTCGTAGCCTTCGGTTTTTTTAAGGGCTAAGCTAAGGAATAGATTATTTCTACATACCAATTGATTCGACTAATTTACCAAACCAAATAAAAAATACTTTTTTTACGTAGCCCCCTGTTTTTTTTTGAAGGGCTTGCTTAGGTACCAAGCCTTAGTAGTAAAATATTTTCTAATTGATTTGGAAATATTTTCTAATTGATTTGGTCCAAAAGCGACCATTTTACTAAACCATCCTTCCGACTTTATTCCGGTTTTGTACAAATTCAAATTTTGTGGGAATTAAGATATTGAATATTATACGTGTTCATTTTCTGTGAACAAATAAACTAAAAATAAAAAGTACCGGCTTAAATACCTAATAGGATATTGATTATGCCAATTAATTTGCATGGGTTAGGTTTCAAGTTGGGTATCACGGACGAGTGGTCAAAGACATTTCTAGATAATTAAAAATCCACAGCCGGGATTCGAACCCAGGGCCGCAAGCGCGGTAAATACGTGTCGGACTCCTTAACCACTCAGACAACGCGGTCTCCCAAATTCCTTAGTTTATTGTTTTCTAGGTTTCAATGACGGGCTTAGTTTTTCCACATGTGAAAAATCACTTAATTTTTTCTACGTCTCCAGACTTAGACACTTCACTGTGTGCAAAGGTCGTAACAAACGATATACTGCAATGTTGTTTAAAACTAATCACGTAAAAAGTTTTATTTTATGCTAATTAGGCTATAATTATATCAATATAAAGCACTAAATAAAGTACACTGTCTTGGGTTTTATTTATCGGTTATCTAATGGCATTGTTGTTATATTTTTGACTCCTGGTATTAAGTGGTATATCCACTTTGATGGGGTCTGACGATTTTTACTCTAAAGCTCAAATACTGTCAAATTAATTTTCTATATAAAATGAACACACTTTGTCATTAGAATAAGTTATTTTATTTAAGTTAATTTAGAATAAGCCGCAGTGGCGATTCTCTCTGTCTCTCTTCAAAGGGGAATTATACATTTTCCGGAGATATTGTACAAAAGACAATCTACAGGTCCGTCAACTTCAATAAAGGCCATAGGACTCCCCGCTGTGAGGTAGTAATTCCACTCTCTGAGAAATTAGTTCGCAACCGAGCCTACAATTATTTACATACAAAAGCTCAAAGAAGGCGAACTGCACAATTAGGACACTTTTGTATTTCTAAGTAGTGTCATCGATCCACATATTTTCCAAATTGAGGTTTGTGTAATGAATTTCATCATTAAAAGTTTTTTTAATGTGGGCGAAGGTCCTTAGATTTTTTTTTTCGCGGTCGTTAAAATGCGACGACATACAGCTGGTCCCGGTATCTTTTTGCACCGGGGGTTTTAACCTCCTTTTAAATATGGGAAGGGGGGAATCAGCATAATCGATAGCAAGGCCGGCCCGTTTCGGATGTAATTCAAAACCCCCTCGGCCCACACGGCGATACGTCCAGGTGGGAACGAACACAAAGACCCAGGGGGTTGAAGCGTTTCGGGGGGTTGGAAACTAAGTACGTCATTTTATTTTACGGTTTCCAACTAATACAATATTCTCGGTCCTTTATTAGCTTTAAACCATAAAAATACCCTGAATATTTTTTGTTAATTGTTCTCCGTTAGATTTATGTGTCTTGTTGGTCCAAGAAGGCTTATTATTTTTTTTAAAATTAAGATGTGATTCGAACTTTTTTCTGTATAAATAAAGAAAAGTAATGCAAGTTATGTTCTTCGGTAGGAACCATTATTACTTTGTTCTATTTAGGAAGTAAGGGCTTATCACATATAGGGTGGTGCAGTTTTCTTAATTAACTAATTTCTTGATAAAAACTGAAAGAATTTAACCCAAATGTTGCAAGTTGAATGTGTTAATAAAAGAATTCCAACACACCAAATATCATTCTGTATTTAAATAAATAAAGTAACAAACTCCACTGATCATAAAAGGAAATGTATTTGCTAAATTAAAAATGAAATAAAAAAACACTCGTAAAGCTTGGAAAAAAGCTTAATATATGACAAAATTAATTTATTATTACATTTTCATTGTAAAGCAATGAAATGCTTTCAGTGTTTATCGAGACATACTTTTAATAAGATCATATGAACAGGTGGTGCAATGTTTTTTCCAATGGTATGGCGAAAAATGCGCCATTCTGTATAAAAGTCTGGTTGTTTATTTATGATGATATTTGTCGATAGTTATGTTATACCCTATTTTTTGTTAATTGTTCTTGTTAGATTTTTGTGTCTTGTAGGTCCAAGAAGGCTTATTAATTTTTTTTATATTAAGATGTGATTCGAACGGTTTTTTTTTATATAAATA